TCATCAAGGACTCTGTTGCATTCCCCCACCATAACCCCAAGTTATTCAAAATGGAGAGAGAGGGACAGCAGCAGAAAAAGATAGTAACTCTCTACATATTTAAATCCCACTAAGGGAAGAAGCATAATCTCTACAGGCACCTAGAGTCCTTGCTCCCCCTACCTCCAATTCTAGAAGGAGAAGTTAGCCTTCACTCTTCATCCATGATGCCTGTACCAAAGTGGGAGCAGGGTCCTCAAATCTTCCCCTTACTGCCAACGATGTGGTGGGGGCAGAAATCTATTTTCTTTTCTTCCCCCAGTTCCCAGAGATTCAAGTGGTGTCTGCTTCTCCTTCCAATTTCCTGCATTGGGTCAGAAGGCAAGGACCTCCTTGCCTCCTGTTTACCAGGAAGAGTAAATAAGAACAGTAAACTTTTATCTGATGCTGTATCTTGTTCTGGGTACAGCAGTAGTTGCTGTGGGGGCAAAGGTGGCTTTGCATGGGTTGGAAGCTACAGTGTGACTGTTTCTGATTCTTCTTGGCAAGAAGGGAGAATTTGGAGAGGTGGTGCTGTGGAGGGTGCTAATCTTGAGCGATGGCTGGTGGGACAGCACAGGAGAAGAGGTGTTTGTAAATAGGAACAGTAAACTTTTATCTGGTTAGATCCATCAATGGCTATTAGCCAGGATGGGTAGGAATGGTGTCCCTAGCCTCTGTTTCTCTGGAAGTGGGAGACAGGGGAGGGATCACATGAGGATTACCTATTGTGATCCCTCCCTCTGGGGCATCTGGTATTGGTCACTGTCCGCAGACAGGATACTGGGCTAGATGGACCTTTGGTCTGACCTAGTATGGCTGCTTTTATGTTCTTGTATATGGGAGAAAAAACCCATGCCTGGAGAAGATGCAGGCACTAGAGGAATTGATGTGCACGTGCATGCTGGTTTGAAAACTGCAGTTGCCATTTCCGTTTATTATTCCTGCCTTTTTAATGCCACGTCATGGCGGGGGGGGGAACGGGGGACATGAGATGTTCATGTTCTCACAAAATTATAGTGTGGAATATGCTCTCTCCTTTTCTGGTGCACTCAAAGGGGAACGAGCCCCACCATGAGCTTTCCTCTGTCTTGGTGAACATGTGCATGTGTCTCAGAACAGATGTGCATGGTATGGTGGGGAACAGTGCCTGTAATGCGGGGAGAGGATCTTGTGGGGAGGACGGGGTAAATCTGCCAATTAATGGCATTTTGGGTTAGTGGCTGGAGCTGTACCTCTTCACAGAGAGGAATGGGAATAAAGCACAGAAACTGGCAGGAAAGGATGGAGCTACTGCTAATTCTTCCCATTATGGAGGGGATGAGAGGTATTCCTACTTGTTTCTGTGGTACCACCCCTAAATTACTCCTGCCTTATTAATGCCACATGATGGCTGGGGGGAAAACATGAGACATTCATGTTCTCCCAAATTATAGAGTAGAATATGCTCTCTTCTTTTCTGGTGCACTCAAAGGGGAGAGAGCCTCACCATGAGGCATAGTCACGATAGTAGCTGAAACTGAGGTGGTGAGTGGATTCCTCACCCCAACCTTCCTGCAGGGGCATACTCAGAAATTTATTTTTGACCCCTTTTGCAGGCAGGACATGTTCTGTGGACCTCTTCAGTGCATCTGGCAGAAGCTCACTCTTCCCTCCCCACCTCTGCCCTGACTCCTTTTTTCCTCCCCCATCCCAGCTCCAGCAGCAGCCTGCTTTACCCACTACCATGGTGGCCCCAGAGCTGGAAGAATTCAATGCTCCTGGTGACTGTTTGGGGCCTTGTGCTCCTTTTTGTTCCCCGAGTGCACGCTTGTGCCTTCCTGTAAGGGGGAGACAGCAGGAAAGGGCCTCAGTGACACATTCCCAATTGGTGACAAGTTTCAGAGAAGTAGCCATGTTAGTCTGTTTCAGTAAAAAGGAGGAGTCCTGTGACACCTTAAAGACTAACATATTTATTAGGGCATAAACTTTTGTGGTAGGGATGCAATTGTAAGCATCACCTACTGGGTGATGCTTACTGTTAACTAGGTAATATATATGAACAGCCATAATGGGTCAGACCAAAGGTCCATCTAGCCCAGTATCCTGTCTGCTGACAGTGGCAAATGCCAGATGCCCCAGCGGGAGGGAACACAACAGGTAATCATCACGTGATCCCTCTCCTGTCATCCATTTCCAAGCAAACAGAGACTAACAATGCCATTGATGGACCTACCCTCCATGAATTTATCTAGCTCTTTTCTGAACCCTATTGAAGTACTAGTCTTCACCACATCCTCTGGCAAGTAGTTCCACAGGTTGACTTTGCGCTTCCTTTTGTTTGTTTTAGACCTGTTACCCATTTATTTCATCTGTTGACCCCCTAGTTCTTATATTATGGGAACAAGTAGATAACTTTTCCTTCCTCACTTTTTCCACACTAGTCCTGGTTTTATAGACCTCTATCATACTTTCTAAGCTGAAAAGTCCAAGTCTTTTTAATCTCTTTTCATAGGGAAACCATTTCAAATCCCTAATAGTTTTTGTTGTCTTTCTCTGAACCTTTTCCAATGCCAATATATCTTTTTTGAGGGGAGGCAACCACATCTGTATGAACTATTCAAGATATAGGTGTACCGTGGTTTTATATAAAGGCAATAAGATATTCTCTGTTTTATTCTCTATTCTTTTTCTAATGATTCCTAACATTCTATTTGCTTTTTTGACTGCCACTGCACAGAGTGGATGTTTTCAGAGCACTATCCACAGTGACTCCAAGATCTCTCTTGAATAGTTGTAGCTAAATTAATCCCCATACTGTATGTGTAGATGGGATTATTTTTTCTAATATGCATTACGTTACATTTATCAAAATTAAATTTCATTTGCCATTTTATTGCCCAATCACTTAGTTTGGTGAGCTCATTTAGTTTGATGGTTAAACTGATGGCCTGGCCGATCTGGGGCAGCCACCTAACTGACCGCACACTACACAGGAGACTTTTTCTCTCCCCCTCCCGTCCACCAAGAGAAGAGATCAGGAACTGTGCCCCCTCCAAGGAGATGCTGAGACCCCAGGGAAGCCTCCTCCCCAGGAGTGGAGCTGGCCCTGCTCTCAGGGAGGCTTTGTTGTTGGCTCTGCAGTATAAATTTCATTTAAGCTTTATATTGCAGTGCCCGCAGCAGGTGTAACCATGTAACTGCTAAGATTTTCAGCGATTACACAGTTACCTTTTTAACCAACTTTTTACATCCCTACTTCACTCCCTACTTGTCAGTGAGAGATACTCATCATTATTAATAACTAGAGGTGTTGCTTGAGTCCTGGTGGGGGGGAGGGTCTGGGCAGTGGATGGGGAGTGTAAAAGTTCTGGGAGGTGTGGTGGAGTGAGCAGAGTAGGGGGTTTGGGTGTGTGGTAGGTAGGGCTTATGGCAGAGTTATGTGCGGGAATCAGGGAAGGGGGCTGGGAGGTCTGGGGAAGCTTACCAGGGTTGTCCTGGGTGGTAAAGTTGGTGCACCTCTGGGGGGAGAGGGCTGCACTGCCCTGCCACGGCATATCTGGGGGGGGGGGGGCAGTGGTTCCCGGTCATGGCATATTCTGAGGGGGAATGCAGTTCCCAGCCTCTTCTCTGGGGCGTGGGTTTCCTCATGGTGTGCTGAGGCCTGTCCTTTGGAAGGGCATCTCTTATGGGGGTGGGCTGTGGTTTCTGGCCTCCATGGTCGGGAGTGTTTTGTGGGGGTGGGGAGGCAGGCCACAGTTCCTGGCATCTTCTCCAGGGTGGGCTGGGCCACAGTCCATGGCCTCTCCTCTAGGGTGGGCTGGCCTGTAGTTCCCAGCCTCTCTTCTGGGGGGTGTCTCCTGTGCAGGGGTGGGGCACTGTGGTTCCCGTCTCTCCTCTGGGCAGGGATGCAGTTCTGTGCTGGCAAGCCCTGGAGGTGGCATCTCCTGACGGGAGCAGCCTATGCTGGTAAGGCCTGGGAGTGAGGCCTGGGGGGGACCGCAGCGGCAGGGCTGGGAGGCAGCGGGGC